CCCCCCTCCCACCCGCACTTCCATACAGACTCCCGGAAAACCAACACCCCAAATCTTGAGCAAGGCCCCAAGGACACAACAACAACACTGAATCACTACAGGCAGGACTCTTGCACCATTCTGGGCTTACAGCCACAGAACGGCCCAGTGAGGCCAGCTCAGCCCAGTGTGGGACCACAGCGGCCACCCCTGAGGGCTGCAAGGGAATGACTTCACTAAGGGGGAACACCGAACAGGGTCCCCGAAACAAATAACTGTCACTTCAAAGCTGGGGAAGGGGAATGGGGGTGTTGCCCTTGAATTAGTCAATGTTCAGTGAGCAGGACACGGGGGTATTAAACTAATCATCGCTCTTGTCAGGGGTGGCAGGGTGGATATACTGTAACTTACGAGCACAGTCGTTACCAACGAGAGGAGGCCATTCGTACACACTGCCTGGTTTGTAGCCAATAACTCCCAGGATCTCATCAGTAACTTGTTCTACACCCCCACCATCCTGCCTCAGTATCAGATACAGCGGTGTGCCCCGATGGGAGTTGAGACCGAGTGATATTTCGGACTTCAGTGAAAGCGGTTTTTTCAGCCTCCACTCCTCGAACCAAAGGGAACCACATCAGCTGACAAGGAGGGGGGTTTGCTGTAAGAAGGGGAATGCTTCCCAGAACCCCCTCCTCCCCTCAGCTGAAGCATCACTCCAGACACCCCCTTCCCCACCTGAAACTCAACACACAGCCCTGAGAGGCACAAGGTCTGCCAGCTTCTCTCTCACGTTCAGCTCGGTACCCCCAGCCATCGCAGGGTCGCAGCTCAGCCAAGGAATGACGACATACCACTGACGCACGCGAGCAGAGGCTCTGTGTCAGCAGCCCCGGATCCGAGAAGCACTTTCACGCTCATCAAGTGGAACGACATCAACATTTTACGGCTGTTGTTAGCAGCTATGAATACACGAGGACCGCACAGAAAAGATCACGGCCAGCAGCAGGAGGACCAGAGCTGTAGAAGGAATCTAGTGGGTATTATAAAGCCTCCCCTGAGAAAAACAGATCCAAGAAGATCACTGAGGTGCCCTGAGGGCGAGGAGGCTGGAGAAAGTGGTTCCTTCCTCGAAGTTCGGGGTCAACAGAAGAGACCGGCTCCAGCAGGACACACATGGTCACTGGTGAGTGGAAAGGACTCACCCTGATCGCTGTAGATCTGTGGAGGTGGGTGCTGGGGCAGGAAGTGGGGGGGCAGCTCTCCAGTTGCAGGCACAGGGGGGTAAACGTGGTGATGGTGCAGCAGGGCCGGGTGGGGGGGCAGGTAAGGGGGCACGTGGGGGTGCGGGTGAGCCATGGAGTGGTGGAACTCTGCCGAGTGGGGCAGCACCACCACTTTCCGCATGCCGTTCTCCTCCACAACCTGCAGGGGGCGGGAAAGAGCAGAGTCAACGACGGGTAGGGCTCAGAGCACCTGGGCACCTCGGCTCACCTGTCCCCATCTCCAGCCATCAGGTGACGCACCAGACATAGACGGACCCCTGACCTGTGCTGTTCAGCACCAGTACAAGGCCTGGCCTTCTTTGTATCTACAGCGTGTGCCTTATGAATGACAAGAATAGAAAAAGCTCCTGACCACCCAACCAATTCCGCTGCAAAATACAGACCAGCTCAATTACAGCCTTCCAGCCTTGCAGAACACAACACACACCCACCACACTCAGCCCTCACATTAAGCTCCATACAATCAGTATAACTTTGGAGTGATCTCAGATTTATGGACCTCTTCCATAAACCTCAACTAAACCACTAACCAGTGGAACACTGGCTATGTCAAGGGCTGGAAAACCAGTACTGATCACAGAGTATTTTCTCAGCAAATATTATTTATTTGCTTTTTTAGTTCGGGACTCCATTTCCTTTTCCCTGCAGGTGATACTACTGAACTGCATAGAAAATGCAGCAACTTCGGTAAACCTTGTAGTAACATTTCAGCGGACTCTTCTCTCGGGGTCGGAGTACCCACCTGAGACATGTACCCTGGGGGCAGGAAGATGGGAGGCATGGAGCCATTGGGGGACACCATCGGCACATGTGCAGGACCTGCAGCAAACGGAGACACAGAGATACAAAGGGCTGGGCAAACATGACAGCGGGCCTTCTGCTTTTCACCATCTCATCCACACTGCTGCTTCTGACCTCAGTGCACCTGCAACAACCCTGTCACACTGCTGCATTCGAGCGGGAGAGAAAAGAGCAGAAGCAGGCACAGCACTCCGAGGAGACTGCCGTTCACTATGTGACGCCTTGCAGATCTCACACACAGCACTCGGCTGGGCAGGGGAAAGACTCTGTGATGAAACGACGATCATGCACGAAGAGCCAACTGAAAGGCTACAGACTTTGAGGGCACAGCTACTCATCACAACACAGCACCCTCTGTGCTCTGTGGAGACCCTCTTGTGCCCACAGGGAGCTCACCTGGAATGCACTGGATATGCCCGTCCTCTGTCCGGATAGTGAAGGTCTCCCCAGGGTTCACCTGCACCAGGATCACCTGGGAGGACGAGCAGAACAAAGAGGGGGCATCTTTAATTAAACCAGACCCCAGCTCTAGCTCAGGGGACCCCTGCAGCTCTCCAACCTCTGCTGCACCATTCATTTAAACTCCCCTGTGGAGTGAGGGTGGAACTGCAAGACACCTCACAGCTCTGTGACGGTGACGTACCCCCCAAACCCCAGGACACCCCACATCTCTGTGACAGTGACGTACCCCCCAAACCCAGGACACCCCACAGCACCGTGACAGTGACGCACCCCCCAACCCCAGGACACCCCACAGCACTGATCTCCCACACGACGGAAGGCCGGCCCTTTAGCGCAGAGGAATTCATCACTGCTGCGCAGCTCGAGACTGAAAGCACAGTCCCTGTAACAGTCTTGAGAAAGCAGAAACCTGGGAACCCCCCCCAACGCAGAATCAGGAAACACTTCGCATGTACATGTGCAGGTTTAATAACAGAGCAGCCCCCACGACCCAAGACGGCATTTCTCCACAGTCTGCAGTGGTCTTTGTCTGTCCTGTTTTGTCTGTCCTGTCTGTCCTGCCTGGCAAACAAGCCAGGTCTCCAGATCATCACTGGGAATCTGTTTGCTGTGCTGCACCATTTTCACACCCCTCCCCCTGTCTGTAAAGCTCACTCACAGGGGATGTTTGCCCAGCACAGCAGTGTTCCCTGGGCCTGGGAAGGGTACACTAGGCCAGACAGCCCCCTGAGGTCACGACCTGCTTCACACAACCCGCAGAGGCAACGAAGGAAGTTGAATCAAACCCTATTAAACCACAGCGATGCAACCCGGACCTGTGTCACACACAGGCACTCACACATACATAGACATTACATACAGTGTAAAAAAGCACACCACTAATGCAATCCGACACAGGCAGCACTTTGATCCATTTAACATTTTATGAGCTGCAGGCTCCTATGTAAACTGTTCTCATGAAGCAGAAAAGCAAATCAAAGTGCCAACATGTATTTATTTAACCCCACGTTACTCACAATAGGAGCTGCTGACATGCAGTACAAGAAACAGCAGCTGGTAATACCCATTTATAACAGAATAAATAACTCAGCCCTGGGAGTCTGGTTTCTACTGTGGCGCACTCAAGTGAGAATACACACATGCACACAGTTGACTACCAGATGCAGCGTTTACACTGCAGTAAGGTAGTAAAATCCAGGCAGCAATCAATCACCTGCTATTCTCTTAACTAGAGCACAGCGATCACTTCACAACGATAAAAATCAATACTTCCTTGCATTTACACAGTGACTTTTATCCCAAAGCACTTAACATACAGTGCCCTCCAGAAATATGAAGGGGAATATATGCCAATTAGATTTTGTTCACAGGAATTTCTAGGGGTACCAATCGTTGTGATCTTTTGAGAAAAATGTTTTTTTTATAAGGATTTTTTTTTCTTTGAATAAGCTCACCTCAAATTTCTCTCACATTTTCAATGTAAGATCAAGCCAATACACAACCAAGACATTTTTTCATGGCCTTTTTTGCTCATCTTTTCCAAGGGTGCCAACCATCCTGGAGGGCACTGTACATACACTTCAAATTCACTTTATCTACCACCGACGTGCAGCCTCTCTGGGTGACACACAGCAGCCATTTTGCACCAGCTGGCCAGGTAAAGAAATGAGCAAGAGCTTCACCAGCTGAATTAAGGGAGGCCAGATATTGTACAAATCCCAGGGGATAGTTTAGCTAAGTCACTGGGTTAACACCCATACACTAAAGAACAGTGCCCTGGGACCCTTAAAGACAAAACAGTGATGTACCGCCTTGATTTAACACTTCATCCAAAAGACAGGAAGGTTTAAAATGACGTATCCTGCTGAAGTATCCTTAAATCCTGTATATCATGAAGGTGTGTGTGTCCGGGGTAGAGGCAGTTACACATGTGACAAAGGTATGTCTCTCCGATTTGCACTCCCTAAACCAGGCCCTCATGGGGGGCCCTGGCAGGGGGGGGGAGGCAGAGGCAGAGGCGTGCAAGGAATGCTGGGAAAGACGCAGCTATGTCAGGAATGTGCCCTCATTCCCCCAGATCCTCTGCAAGTAACTACCTGGGGGCTGGAGCCAGAGGCGGGATAGGGAAGCAGTAAAGGAGGGCAGGTCTGGACAGAAGCTGACCTGCAGCCTCCTCCACGAAAGGGCTGTCTCAACCGGCTACCAGCAACCCTACAAGCTAGAAGGGCCAAATGGCTCCTCTCGTTCGGAACTGGTCTTAAAGGGCTGATGTTTCCTACAGGACGGGGGTCGGTATTGATACACCGGTGGGTCGTCCTCTCACTATGGCTTCCACACACTCCTGAACAGCCAAACCCAATACATGCTGCAGCACCTGGTTGTGCCATGTACCTGGGCATGGTAAACGATCCAGCCCTTTTTTTTAAAAAGCCCTCCACTGGAGCCGTCTAATAAAGGTCTAGCTGACCGCAGCCAGGACCATGCCCGGTTGTACAACACCAGAAGCACATGGCAGTCAAAACAGAGCCACATCAGCCAGGGCCCTCTGGGGTTCGGTGGAAACGAAAACTCCTGCCAGCTGCGGGGCGCTCACAGGCCTGCGGTGATGTCATCGAGAGACCCGCTGCTCCTCCAATCAGGACGAACTCGCCCGTCAGGAGCTGTGGAGCTCGCCCAGTGTCCAATGGCGTGTCTCCATCTGCACAGGGGTACATGGCTCACCGCTGCACAGCCAAGTCTTAAACAAGTAGCAGGGAAAAAAAAAAAGCTCCGAGAGGCTTTCCGAACACCAAAGTAGAGCCGTGCCCCAAACTAGGAAAGTATCAAGCGTTGAGCCCAAGACACCACTGTAATATCTGATTGTGGGCGGTCAGTGCCAGGGCAACACAGAAATCATCCTCAGGAGAGTCTCATCCCGAGACATCAGAGCACGTCAATCTCTAAGCAAGCCTTGAAAAAAAAGAGATCATGAAGAACAAAACAGTCGCCGTTTGTTTAGGCTGGAAAAGCAGGTCTAAATATTTGTTCTCGCAAAGCAGCACAGAGTAGGGACCAAAGAGCACTCTGCAGCACATACCAACCCCCCCCCGAGCTGATCTGAACCCGCATCCTTACAAAACAAGGAGCCCTGAGGTAAAAAACACCCCCCATCCCCCCAAGAATTTATCTCCCTGTCCAAGTCCTTCTGGAAACACAGCAGCCTGAGCACAAACAGATTTCCTTCCCGTTAGCCCTGCTTGAAGTTCCCAGACCTGGCTGCTCAGTGCCAAAGTCAGAGAAGGGTTATTA